AGAAATTGGTGAGCAGCTACCTCTCCCCAGTGGGTGTGTACTCCAGGCTGAGGACTCCATAAAGAGTGGGGCCCATACCTCTTCCCTTGAGGACTTGTAGTGGACCCAGGATACCCAATATGGGAGCGCCCTGCCTGCTGGCATTCTGCAGAGATGCACGCTAGCAGGTCAGACACACAGGCTAGGGGAAGGTTTGAGAGTTGGACAGCCAAAATGAATTTTAGGTGGCCCTGGTCGTCATAAGCAGATATTCTGGTTAGGCAGGGCCACTTCAGCCCCTCCCTGGCAGTCTTACCCAGACTTGGAGCAGACCTTTGAACCCTGATGAAACAGCTACCTGACTAGCTTTTGCAGAGCCTAAGGGCAGGCTCATGCAACCCAGCTCCATCCAGCTTCACTCCCCCCTGTGCCTCTCCTGTGGCGAGAATAAAGGCATACGTGTAAGTTCCAGGCTCCCACCCACCTCCTAGGACTGATCAATGTTCTTTCTGATGTACCAGAGCTGGTCACAAGTTCCCCCCCCCAAAATACTGCAGCCCATTTCTCCTGGCAGTGCCACCTACTGATAGGGAGGTAAGTTAGCACAGGCCTCTCCAGAGCTTTTACTGACTAAATTGTACAGGTTAAGATAGATTCTCACCCACAAGTGACACCTACTGTGTCAGAGGTTAAACTGGACATGCCAATACAACCTGCAGAATTGGAAGAAATTTGCAATCTGTATGTCCAATGAAGGGCTAATAAGAATCTGCACAGGAAGAGGGGAGAACGTATGTATGGCAGAAGGAGGAGGGCATGAGGCAGGATCTCACCTAATGTGCACACTGTGAGGGTATATAACATGCCCTCTGGGTGAGGGGATCTTCTACAAATGGAACCTTACCTTGGAAGCGAACAATGTAACCTAAAAATTATACCCTCATATTAATTTGAATAAAAAAAATAATCTACAAAGAACTCAAGCAAATCAGCAAGAAAAAAACAACCTGACCAAAAAGTGGGCAAAAGACATAACCAGAAGACAACAGACAAACGGCCAACAGACATATGAAAAAGGCTTACGCTGCTAATCAGGGAAATGCAAATTAAAACCACAATGTGATGTCACCCACTCTGTCAGAAAGGCTTTATTAAAAAGTCCAAGAACAACAGATGCAGAGAGAAAGGAACACTTATAAACTGTTGGTGGGACTGCAAATGAGTACAACCTTTATGAAAAACAGTATGAAGATACCTCAAGAACTAAAAGTAAATCTACCATTTGATCCAGAAATCCCACTAGTGGGTAGTTTCCCAAGGGAAAACAAATCATTTTATCAAAAAAGCATCTGCACTCAAATGTTTATTACAGTACAACTCACAATTGTAAAGAAGTGGAATCAACTTAAGTGGCCATTAATTCAAGACTGTGTTAACAAAATGTGGTATATGTGTGTCGAGGAATACTACTCAGCATAAAGAAGGATGACTGAATGCCTCTGCAACAATTTGAATGAATTAGAGAGCTAGTTCATTATCCTAAGTGAAGTATC